TACTGTGTAGTCTTGAATTGTGGGATTCTGTAGATTATATTTTATGTGGTTGTACATCTACATATCAGGACACAGTAATTCTGCTGTGATTTGAGGAAGATGTAATCTCAGCTGCTGTTAGCCCTCCTCAGCTCCAGGAGCTGAGCACTGCTGTCTTCAAGGGTTTGCCAAATACAGTCACCAAGAGAAAAATTGATGCTATAAACCAATCCCATTGTAAACTGTAATCTGCATCCTCAGTTCCCTTCTCTTAAGCTCAGGCAGGTTTCTTGGGCATTGTGCAGAGGTATTTCATGGCTAACCTTGGGTGTTGGGAAAGATCTTCCCCAGGTCTGAGGTATTCAGTGTTGCTCGCAGTACCCCCAGCCAGGTGTAATGGGACAGAAAGGTGGGTGCACAGAAACTTCTCCATCCCTGTCCTTGTGAATACCTCTCTGCATTGCCAACATGAGAATTAGAAGTCCCACCTGGGGCCCGGTGCAGTCCATGCTGAGATTCACAAGTCTCACTGACTTCTGCTCTTCATCCTGAGCCACCTCCGTGCTGTTTTGTGGCATTGACACTCAGCAGGGGAGATGTAGCCACAGAAAGGATGGTGGCTTTTCATTTTCTTTTTTCCCTGGGAGGTTCCTTTTCCAAAAGATGCTCCAGAACAGGGACGTACTACAGGAGACTCAGTTGTGCACTGTAGGGTTTGCAATCCGTGGCAGCAAAACAAGCCATGGAGAGATGGGGTGTGCACACACGGGAAGGCGGCTGGGGGAGGATACAATGGGATGAGGCTATCTGTGTTTCTCAAATAAAAGACCTGGACCAACCCAGAGAGCAATGAAAACACTCCCCATGGCTTACTGGCAGAACAATAATGAATAAATCCAGCCAGATACATCCATTGACCAGACAGGGGTAATCTCTACCTTCTGTAACCCCTATACTTGTTTGAGCTGCTTCTTCCACCCACCTTCTCCCCTTCGATTCTCTCAGCACCTGCTGTCTTAAAAACACAATTACATCCCTGGAAACTGATGGATTTAGGCTCTGTCAGTTTGTCTATGGCCTTTAGATTTTAAGACTGGCTCCCAAGTGACCCCTGCCCCACAGGTCAGTAGTTAAGTCTCCCATTCTCTCCACCTCCTTTCATCACCCAGCCTTCAAAGAACAAAAGTCAGATCTGCCTTGCTCACACTACTTTAGCCGTGGTCACTGCATATCATTCCCTACCAGCAAAGAAATTTGTGGGAGACAGTTAGATATGGGAATATAAATTACTAGGTGGTTCCTGAATCATGTCTTTCTGAAGCATGTTGGTGCTGCAGTGCCCACTTCTTGTTCAGAGCAAGATGTTGCAGTGCTTCTCTAGCTTTGCTCAACCCAAATATCCAGTGAGCGCTTCATTTACGATCCATAGCCACAAAGGAGGTACTGAGAATGTGCTCAGTTCCTGTGGCATCAGTCCCCCCAGGTTCTGTGTCAGCAGGGGAGTGGCACTTCTCTGCCAGCAGCCAGCCTCTAAAGAAACTAGTCCTCCTTCCACCTGAAATGCAGAGGTATATTCTTCTGTTGATCTTGGTGGAAATTCAAAATAAAGGAGAAGGCATACAAAGGCGTACAAAGAACTTCATGGGACGGGGGTAGTGCTGTTCAGCAGTTCACACAACCCGTTTTAGGGCTGCTACTTACCACTAGGAGACTCAGGAGGGGCCTTATGGCTAGGGACACTTTTGTCATTTGCACTGAGATTTTGCCACTGCTGCAACAAGAGACATTTTCAGCCAGCTTCACGTGATGTGGTAGACCTCCATGCCACAGGTACCATTATCTCACAGCACAGCACCATGATTTTACCATGCCCACCCCCAGAGGAAGAGTGGGCACCTGATGCTGAGTATGCCGACTGGTTCAGCATTACTTGCTCTCTGCAGAGGACACTCTCTTAAGTTGATGTTGCCATGCACGGTGCAAATACATATTTTAAAGGTCACATTTGCTGATTTCATTATTTTTAAATAGAATCTCTCGGGTCAACATCTTTCTCAGGCACATATTACAAAGAAATATCTGTCTTGGTGTTTCATAGAATGAGAATCATAGCATGGTCTGGGTTGGAAGGGACCTTAAAGACCATCTCACTCCAACCCCTCCCGCCAGACCAGGTTGCCCAAAGCCCCATCCAACATGGCCTTGAACACCTCCTGGGATGGGGCATCCACAGCTTCTCTGGGTAACTCGTTCCAGTGCCTCACCACCCACAGAGTAAAGAATGTCTTCCTTATATCTAATCTAAACCTACCCTATCACTACACTCCTAGATAAGGAGTTCCCCTCCAAAGAGCAGTATGGGACATCCAGTTGAGAAAGAAGCTGAAATTGTCCCTGTGTCCCAGTGATTTTCTGTCTTTTCCTCACAGCTTTTTCATTTGTCACCTGAGTACTCCCTCTCCCCCTCCCAGCCCTGTTTTCAGCTGGGGATTAGGTTGTTCCCACCGGGTGCTAGCCAGAGCAGCTTTACATCCCAAGCTCCTCTGAACTTTGGAAGAGTTTTTATATCTGAACTTGTGCTCCAGTCTGAATCCAGAGATTGTACTTATTTAAACATTTCTGGATAACAATAGACTCAAATCAGAGTTCACGTTAACTCTTCAGGATTACTTCTGCTTTTTAAAATGGAGTTGGCTAAAATTTTCTGAGTTGTAAATATTTGGAAGACAGAACAGTATTTCACAATTAAATTTTACTTATCTGTATTTTTCAAGTGCTGGTCAAAATCTTCCTCATATGTAGACTGAAACAGATTTCCACCAAAAAGTATAAATTATAATAAACAAAGAATTTCTGTCATTTCTCATCATCTGTTAGTATTTCCAAGTTGTTCCTTAGGAACAAGAATCTTGCATAAGTGCTGAGTCGTAGAATGATTCTATACTGGAAATTATACTGTGATGTTTCTGATATCCTCTACCAAATATTACAAAAAATGTAAAATTGAATTTTAGAGGCTATAAAGACAAAGATAGATTTGTTTCTTAAATAATTTATTTGGAATATATTAGATGTTAAACATATAGCACAAACTATGATCAGGTGGTGCACCATATTTGTTCATGATCATACAGATAAGAAATCTGCAAAACACAAAGAAAAAAGATATGACAAAAAAAAAAAAATCTTTGGTAGACAGAACTAGTCAAACACAAGTGGAACATAAGAGTAAGAAGCTCCTAAATGGAAAGGAGAACAAAGAAAGTGTTGATATGAACCAAAGCAATAACAAGAAGGGAACTTTTTAGGATAAAAAATATATAAGCATGTTGTGTTACAAAATAGACAGGTTGTCTTTCACCTTCCCTCGGTAATAACTCCTCTTACAAGATGTTCTGACTTGGTGATGTGTGTTTCCTAGGATATCAAGTGGGTGATGGACCGAAGAGCACCACCACACCTCACCAATAAGTACCTTGATTGACGTGGACTAATTTGTCTTGCTGTAACTCCCAGCAAGTAAATAGAGAGCTAGGACTTGGCTCATTACCTCTGAGGCTCTGTGCAGAAGAGGCTGCGATTCCATTTGGTGACATTAGAGCAGGCAGAGTTGGCAGTGCTAATTGCACAGGCCATCCAAGAGTCTCTCAGTGTGTTTTCACTTAGCTGCTCTCCAGCACAGTCCTCAGCCCTGATAGCTCGGAAATGCAGAGATAAGCAAACCAAAGACTCACAGTGTTCAGAAACAAAATGGCACAGTCACCAACCCTTTCAGATTTTTTGTTTTTTAATTTTTGGATCAGTTTTCCACTGACTCCTACATCCTACAGCACCAGCCCTGAGCTGCCCTCATGAATAAGCGGAAACAGCCCAGGGAGATGCCTTGGCACATGTGAGCTCCATTTATTCACTTGTCATGAATATATATATATTTTTTCTAAGTATTGAAGTGTACCTGGGTCCACATGGAAAGAGAAAAGACTTGTGTCAGTGGGAACAGGATCGGAACAGGATCTGCTTACACCTGGTGTCGTTTTTTTCTGTTCCTCTAGAAAAGGTTTATACTCTTCAGAGGCAAACCAGATCTTTGCTGACATAGATCAGGAAAAATCTGCATCCATAGTTCAGGAAATTGAATTGATTTGTGTGCAACAACCCACAATGGTCACCCCTCGTGAGACCTCTCTCAGCCTGCTTGTCACCTAAATGCCCAGAGCAAGGTGGTTGTTCCCTGTGCCAACAGGGACCAGACTGTGCTGGTCCTGTATGTCCAGCAGCTTCTGCCAGACCCAGACTGCACCCACTGCTTCTGCACCTCTGAGTGGGAAGGGGCACCTCTCACTTGCACTTCCAAGAAGGTTTTCTCAGCGCATCACTGAGGCCTTTCTCCTGGGACCTCTTTAAACAAATGTTTAGTTTTGTTTAATAGCATATTTCTCTAATATGATGGATTCCTCCAATCCAGTGAAAGGTGTGGCCAGGTTCAAGGGCTAGGACTTGTAGTTTCAAAAAAAAAAAAAAAAATCAAGCTGGAAATAAGATTTGGAGGTTCAACAGTGAGAGACAGTAGCTACTGGAACCACAGGTGAATGACTGGAGCAAATGTCCCTCAAAAATTGTTCGCAACTGAGGTCAGATGTCGTTCTTGGAAAAATTTTGTGGTACGGTCAGGATTACTTGAGCTCAGTAGCTTTTCCTCAAAATAGCGTGGGAGAACAACCTCTTTCCTTGCCAGAATCACTGGATGAATTTCTTTCTAACAGAGATCAGGGCAGAATGCCCTTCTGGCTCGGACCCTGCTGTGGCAGTGGTGAGTCCTTCCAGGCTCCCAGGGTCTGAGAGTTCTCTCTCTGGTCTTTCAGGTTGCTGGCTGACCAAAGAATTCCTTTCCTGTTAAATAAAAACTTATTAAAAAAAAAAAAAAAAGTAATAAATATAAATAAATAATCAATGTACATACAGAAGCAACCCACAAAAAAAAAAAAAAAAAAAAAAAAAAAAAAAAAGGTGGGGGGAGAAAAAGGTGGGGGGAGGGAAATACATGTATCAGACTAACACCAAACTCTTCGTTGTCTGCTAAGGAGACAAAGTCTCTGGCCAGCAGCACTCTGCAATATTGCTGCTCCCACCAGGAGAGGAGGCGCCACAGCTCTCAACCAGAGCCAGCTCCTCCATGCTCTGCAGGCGTGGGGCTTGCTGGAAGAAGCCCAGGAGGCTGCCTCGTGCTGCCGCTGCCGTCTGCTGCAGGCCGGGCTCTCCCAGCACCTTGACGAGGAAGTTGATGTACCTCATGGCGAGCCGCAGCGTCTCGTTCTTGCTGAGCTTTTTGTCGGGCGGGTGGGTGGGAATGAGTTTCCTCAGCTTGGCAAAGGCGCTGTTGACGTTCTGCTGCCTCCATCGCTCCCTGGTGTTGGTGAAGATCTTCCTTGTCATTCCCACAGCGCTGCAAAGCAGAGGAGATGGTGAGTCCATGCCAGACACCCCTGACTGCTGACCCACAGGGCACTTCTTTGGAGGGAGGGCAGGCAGGCAGGACGAGGGCAAGAACACACCCCGTGCTTCCCAAACTCCATTCACACCTCCCTGGGGGCTGCTCCCCCCCGTTCCAGGCCTCGTGGCTCACAGCATGAGCTCAGCCAGGTTTGGGTGGACCTTGGGTTGGGGCCTTCAGCGGGCAGACAGCTGATATTAATGAGCACGTGTGATTATGGTTATTTCGGGAGACTTCTCCAGGGAGGCTATGTTCTGGTACCCTGCCCAGCCCACACTGACTGCTCGCTGCTGGCGGCAGGCACTCTCCAGTTGGATCCATTTGGACTTCTATTTTAGCCTCTGAGAGCTGCCAAGGCTAAGCCACAAATGCCACGAGTGCTCCCGGGCAGGGCTTTGCAGGCTGCAGAGGTTAAGCGTGACTCCTACAAAGCGTGCAGGCATTCCAGCCAAAATGTCCCCGTAGAGATTACTTGGCCGCGCCGCCTCGGGGAGCTGAGCAGCAAAGGAAACCCACTGCCCAGCGCAGATCTGGCAGCAGGAGACTGCTCTGCAAGCTCTAAGGGGTGGCTCTAAATGCAATTTGGCAGAGAGGTCATCAAGGGATTGTGGGGTTGACCCAGCCTTGCTTGTATTGCCATCAAAAGGAATCCCAGAGACCAGCTGAGATGGATGAAGGCATACATGCCCATCTGTAACGTGCCAGACCACACAGCTTTTCTTGCCCATTCCCTTTTCCCAGGAAGGCTGTTTCGGTCCCCAGCAGCCCTCTGGTCCTTGCTCATAAACATCCGATGGATGTAGTTCCCTCCAAAAAGCCTTCCCTGCTCTCACACGGCCCTGTGGCAGACATCCACTTTTCCATTTCTGAAGCTGCTTTTTTATGCCAATGGCACACAGACAGTTGGAGCAGGGAAAACAATCCAAGGGAACGGAAAACATCCAAGGGAATAAAGGGCAAATATTTCCACCGACCTTCTTCTGCATGTGTAAACCCAGGCTCTTAATATTTATTGGCAAACTCACCCACACAGCAGTCCCACAGGGGCTGGGGAGAAGCACCCTTCACCCCCAGAAGGGGGAAACTCTGCGGTGATGCAGAGGTTGGAGGGGCTCCCCTGGCAGGGAGACAAGACATGCAAGGCAGGCCAAGAAGTCCCAGCCTGGCACGGATTGCAAATCACCAGACAGACACAGCTACAGGGTCATAAATCACGTTGGAGCCATGGTCAGAGATGTGCCTGTGTAGGCTTTATATGGCTAGGCTCATGCTGCCCCTACGTCCCCGTTGCCCCTCAGCTGTAGCCCTCACAGAGCTGCCGCATTGCTATTCTGGTAGAAGCTGGAAATCACTGGCAGCCCGGTTGTCTACTCCACCTTCAGGAACAAGAAATTTGTCCCGTCAGAATGTCCTTGCTTCATGAGTGGCGCATTGAAAAAGAAACAAGCCCCAGTATTGCAAATGGCTGAGAGATTTTCATATTTCTTGTAGATTTGCATGGAGACCCACTGCTTGATTCAAATGGGAACCACACCTCTCTTTTAAAATTGTTTTCTTACTCTGCGTGTCACTTTTGGTTTGTGCTATGTGAACAAATCTACTTTGTACTTTGCACCTACCCGGAAGAGCTAGCTACCTTTTTGGCAAGAACACTGCTGAAACAGCGATACAGATTTCAGGCGCTGTCCTCCTCTGCTCTTGTCCACTGCAGCACATTCATTCCCAGGGCAATACTTTCACCATTACAGTTTTATTTTTCCAAGCAGCTGCTTGGATCCCTGTGACTTTCAGAGTGCCACCTGCTTCCCTTCCCCCCACTTTTTTTGTTTATCTGTTTTAGGATAACTTTATTCTTGTACAAGGTCAGTCATTTTTCATGAGGTAGGAGAAGTTACTTGGGATTCCTTGCTCCTTCTAATGGGCCAGGAGGACAGCATTTTGCCAGGCTGCTCAGTCTCTGGGCTGTGGTTCTGGTGCGTGGCTCTGGGTGTACATCTGGGCTACAAATGCTGATTGAGGGTCAGCTCCTGCTCTTTCTTCTGCTGCAGGCAGTGCCCAGTGCAGCGCTCCAGGAGAGCAGGTCAGCGCTGTGAATTTGTCCTTTTAGCAGCATTATTGGTGGGAAAATAACCCCAGCCTGCTCCTGCACACCATGCTGCCTTTGTCTCTCTGCTCTTTCACTTGGAAAGGACAACACTACCTCTGTGGTCACAACCCTTGTCAGCAAATAGATGCCTTTGTGGGACCGGCGCCTGCTTTACACTTCAAAAACGCGTGTTTGTACTTCTGACATTTGTTCAGGATGCCTGAACAACAGCTTCCTCCCACCCCAGTGCTCCCCTCTGTGCTGACACCCCATGGGGAGATGCCCTGCAGGTGTGACCCACCTCCATGCACCTCTCCACCTTAAATCCCTCTCCCTTTCTCCCACTGCTGTCTTGGTATTTCCTGTCGTGGCGCTCAGAGCTTCTGCTGGAAGCAGGAGAGGAGCCTCATGAGCCTGGTCCCGTGCTGCCCAAGTGTAATGTTTCAACAGAGCTTCTTCTTTCCTCACATCACGACCTGCCCATCCCTCCAATTCCCTCTAATCACGGCACCTTCCGGCCAAAAGGCAGCGTGTTTGCTGACAAGGGATCTGATTTCCATTCCTTTTGTCTCATCCCTTTCCTCCTCTTCCCTCCTTCTCTCCAGCCCTCCTCCCCACCAAGGGTGGCTTTCAGCATGAAATTACTTGCAGCTTCATGTCTCTGCTAATGTTGCACGTCCCTTAGCTTTCTCTGGTGCGGTGTTGCCCAGGGGCTGCACACAGCCCATACCCCCTCAGTCCATTTTAAACCCATGCAGAGATCACCACTTTGCTTACACACATCGTGGACAAACAGCATTGAAGCTGCACACCTGGATTACCCTGTGCTTTACGGTCACCTCCGCCAGCCACAGCTTAACAGCCCCACATGCAGCTGATAAGAAAGGCACCAGGACAGCAGCAGGCTAAATTCAAGGGGATTAATTCTGCTCTCAGGAATGTAGACCCGGAGGGTTACAGCATTTCCGCTGGAGGAGTAACTCTGAGGGGTAAAGCGGAGCCACCGAGGACAGGATTTAACCGGGATCAGGAGGAGATATCCAGAAGCAGCGGGTTAGTGCAGCTTCGTGAGCTGCGATCCACATCTGCAGCGTGTAAAGAGAATTGTGCGAAGCCATAGCCCCAGCCCCGCAGTGAATCTGCCCTGACAGCCAGACAGAGGAAAACAAAACACCGCCACACACCGCACGGAGAGATGAAGCTCTTCCCACCCCCTGCCTGCTCTTTAGAAATGAGCAAAAATAGGAGGGGGGGGGGGGGGGAAATTCTGGCTGCGGCTAATGCAGCCGCAAGTGTCACCAGACAAAAGACCAAACAATAGAGGAGATGAAGACCTCTCCCCCGGTGGCAGCAGCTCTCGCAGCCTCTCCGTGCGAGAGCTCAGGCGCTTCCAGCAGCAGCAGCAGCAGCAGCCGAGGCACAAAGCGCCGTCCCTGCGAGGACATTCCCCAGCAAATGGCCCCCAAGCCAGCGGTTAATGCCTGAGGGCCGGCAGGGGACTCACCGGCAGCCCAGCACTCAGTCATAATTAGCAGGCTGCTATTAAATAAAGATCGTGGATAAGAAAGTTCCTCCCTCAAGTTATACCTTTGACCTCACTGAAGTTAAATCCATGCTGAAACCGGCCACTGGAGACCTACTCCTGCAAATCTTAATCAGACAGCAGATGCCTGCTGCCAGCAAGAATTGGAGTGCTTCTAGTCAACCTGCGATGCCACGCTGCTGCTCCACTGGGGAAAAACCCGGTGCCTGCTAGAATGGGTTATTTAACACATCGATTTTGTGAAGTCCCCTCAGCCCTGGCGTCAATGGCAGCCCAGCAGCAGGTGGTGCCCAGGCCCCGCAGCAGGCAGGTGCTTGGGAGCCTGATCCACCACGGGGAGCAGAGATCACCCCAGCAGAGCTCCCTGCGGCCACACTTTGTTCGCTTTGCCTCAGTGCAACATGGTGAAGAGGAGGAGGAGGAGGAGGAGGCTCATTGTTTGCCTCTTCAGCTCCATGCCAGCTGTGGAGCACAGAGCTCAGCACTGTGCGGAGGAGAAGATTGAGCATGAATGTCACAAAACATTACACTGCCTATCAGTAACACGTGCGACTTTTTTTTTTTCCTTTTCTTTTTCTCCTCCCCATAGGAGAAATAGTCTTGACGCTCTGCAGCTAAACTATGCTCTGTCTGCTCAGGCCTGGAGGCCTTCCCTCGGGAAGCTCAGCAGGCTGCAGGAGGGGCAGCACACCTCCAGGCTCGGGATCATCCCTCCCAGCTCTCCTCAGCACCTCCATACCCCTCCCCGAGTGCCCCCCACCCGAAATCCCACCAGTGTGCTGGTGGGCGAGCACAGCGCAGTGAGCCAAAGGCTGTGCAGGCCACCAGGGAGCTGCACTTCTGTCCTCATTTCCACTCCCCTTTCGCCTCAGGCAAATCTCTTCTCCTTCCTGTGCCTCCATGTCCCTCCTGCCTGCAATTAGCCCGTCTCAGCTGCAGGTTTTTTGGAAAGGAAATCATCTCTGTGTGAGCACAGTGGCCTGCTCAAGGTGGCCCAGCCTCACCCGGCAGTGACGAGTGCTGGGCCCATGAGGTGAAGCAGAGCCATCGCTCCCAGCTCTGGTGGAGCGCCTCCAAACACCTGTAAGCGAAATTCATTTTGTTTTAAGTCAGGTGTGGGACGAGGAGGGACTCCAGCAGTAAACTACGTCTCCTTTCACTGCCTCACGCCTCTGTCGGGAGGGTTATCTGGCAATCGTGCTGCGATACAAAGCACAGCACAGCAGCTAAAGCACCATAAAAACCAGCCAGCGCTGACAGAGTGATTTACCTTTTTTAAGGTCTGTAAATCTGAGACAAAGCGCACACAGTGAAATCTCCACTTCTGGGAGCTCTCCTGTCTAAGGGCGGCATTTACGGGACGCTCCCAGTTACGCCATCCTCTCTTTGAACCTCCAGGAAAAGGAGACCACCGGAGCACAAAAGAGTGGTGTAAACGTCACAGGCTTAAGTCAGCCTCCACATTTGAGGATACTCATCCAAACTACGTCT